ATTTGACGGCTTTAAAATGGTAAAGATGTTCGCCGTTCCATCAATGAAAAAGCTTTTAGTCAGTATAATATTCACTAAAGAGCCAAAGGATCCAGCTGTAGGCTGAGCTGAAGTGCATGTTTGGCTAAACCCAAAGTGCAGAAGGAGTTCAACTCAGCCGATCCAACATCTGGAAGCTCCAGCAGCTCACTCACTCTCTCATAGGGGCCGAACAGCAGTAAGTGAATAGCCAAATGCCGCGAGTGGCATTCGGCTCTTCTGCTCGGTACCTCCGAGATAGCGAGCAGAATAGAAAATAAGTAAAATGAATGGGAAAGAAAAGTTGAAAAATTATTTAAAAAATAGGAAAATTAAAAAAAGAAAAATATTTCAAAGAAAAGAAAAAAAAATGTTTTAAAAAACAACGCACGCCGACCTGACGGCACGCGACAAACTCCCACAGCATAATGAAGCATCTGACAGATGCCAGCAAAATAAAAACAAGTGGGCAAAGCTAGTGATGACAGCTAGCTCCACCCAACTGTTTTCTAATGGCCGGCACCTGCCTTTTAGCAGTTCCCGGCCAATGAATAACAACTGGGCGGAGCCAGCCGTGATGTCACGGCCAGCTCTGCCCAATTATTTTTAATGACAGATCAGCGTCCCCAGGTCATTTGGGGACGCTGAGTTGTCATTACAACTGGGCGGAGTGAGCCGTGAGATTACCACTGGCTCCGCCCAGCTGTCATTTGCCTGGAGATCGGTCGGCTTCGGCCCGACCTTTCTCCACGCTTCGGCTGTCACTTTTGCCCAGTCGAGCCGAAGCACATGCCTTTGGCTTGGCTGCCTTCGTCTGCTGTATGGGCTATAGTGAATAGCCCCGTACAGCAGCCCTTCGGTTCGACTGAAGGGCTCCGGCGGCCGAAGGATCAGCCGAAGCTAAGGCTGGATCCTTAGGCTCATTTGTGAATAACCCCTTAGTCGACTAAAATCTTATGATATTTAGTGGACTAAAACTAAAAGAATTTAGAAGACTAAAATATGAAAATATGACTAAAACAAAATGGCATTTTAGTCTAAAGACTATGACTAAATCGAAATTTGTTGTGTCAAAATTAATACTGCTAAAAACAGTTGTTTTCTTTTTCTGCCTTTATAGGCTCTCTGGATTATAGAAACCATATATTTTCCTCTATTTTGTGCACTTCAGCTATAGGTGAAGCAAGCCCACAGTGTTGTAGAGCAAGATGAGACAATGCATATAATATCCCTTGAGTTCACCCAAAAACATCCTTTTTAATCCAAGAGAAGGCAAAAAAACCTTTAAAGTGTGGTTCAACTTGCTCCAAAAAGGAAAGGTTCCAAAGGAATATCTACTTGGATTAACATTTCACAATGGTCTTTTTCTACAAATATAAACAGCCATCTATATTTTGTGCAACTACAAACATATCCACTTCTTTTTAAATAAGCCTACTGATTCAACTACAGTTGGTTCCCATGGCAACAATGTTACAGTTTTTACAGCTCAGTAAAGAACCTGTTCTGTGTGTGGAGGTTAAACCTCTTTCTCTCTAATTGCAAAGAGTGCCTTTGAGTCTTTTGTGATGATTTTAGTGGTAAATTCTATTCAGTTAAAGCAGGGGTGCCCATTAGGTCGATCGCGATCTACTAGTCGATCGCGATCGGCTGTGTCCTGTTCTCCTGCTGTGGGGCTTCTCCTCTGCATCCCCGCTGCTCTCCCCATCTGTATGCAGCGGGGATCTGAGGAGAAGTGAAGGAAGCGCTGCAGAGCAAATGCTGGAGCGATCATCTGATAAATAACTGGGGACACATAGTACTATGTAACACAGTAGAAAGGCATCATGGCACACTCACAAACTAGCATGTAAAACAACTTGTCTCACCACTAAGGACAATGACAGAGGTTTGGATACACGTCTTCTGCAAAGGATGTGTAAGCCGCACTGCCGCGCCAAGGCACCTCT